CAAACATCGCTTTCTTATTACAAAAGTTTGTCGACTACCAAAACGAAACGTTTGTGTTGCTCTTTCAAACTTTTTAACTCAGTGCTAGAGGTTTCAGAAAACAAAGAAGCAGCTGTAATATCAGAGCTGGTAAATTCAGAAACAGATATAGCTTATCTGACAAGTTTGTTAAGTAAACTGAATGAATCGAATTTTCAACTCCAAGGTAATGACCTAAATTTAATAGAATCAAAAAAGATTATTTCTGCGTTTTTGCCAAAAGAAAAAAAAATCTAGTTTAGACAGAATTTAAACCCTTTTTCAAACCTATGAATTACAGAACAAAATTGAAGAGATGTATTTAAATATTGCCAGAATTCGAAAACTCTGAAACTGGATTTCAAGAAACAATTTCAAGATAGTTTATAAACTAGCTTATCCAATTGGGTTTTGGATACATTTTCTGCATGATTTCAAAAGAATTTTTAAGCTTTAGAAGAATAATTTTGCAAGGTATTTTCTTCCTCTTTTCCGCATGCCTTTATAGTGTAACTGGAAGCACACTCAAAGAGTATTCGGCAGGTCCGAAGTTTGAAACATCGTTAGAGAATGGCAGTTTTTCCACGTTCCTGCATGGATATAATCTAATGACTTTACAATTCATTGATCTAATGGAGAGCTAAAATTTAAATTTAGATCTTGATATTAACAGTTTTGGTTTCAGAATAAGATAATTACCTGAATTTTATGCCGAATGAATGTTAATAAATTGGTAGAAGTTCGTCAGCTTCATTACTCATTATGTTGGTACTAATTTAGTTTATATTCCTGTCCTTTATGCAATTTATTAAATATGACTACATATTTATTTTTAATTTCATTAATATACAAATAAATTCAGCCTACTTTCTTACTGCTTTATTTCCGTGCATATTTTTGTAAAAAGTATAGACGTAAATTACCAGGGAAGTTAGACCCATTTAGCATTCAGTTTTTAAAAGTTGGCAGTAAACCAGAAAAGTTTGAGAAACATTTGTTTAATGCTTTGAATTAATTTTCAATAGTTTTTTTTAATTTTTAAAATCTACATAAATCTAACTATTTGACTAATTCATATATACATCATAATTTGTATTCAATTTGATAGATTCGATGATTCTATTTAAAGTGTTTATATTTTCACTTCATTAACATTAAACAAAATAAGTATGAATTCTGAGCATCAAGAAAAAGGGGCACTACAAAAAGGTACTCAAGACTCAAGGCAAGGACTCTCCACAAAAATTTTCCGTAGTCGATTTGGCCACATACGGTGTAGTTAAACCCAAAGCGTGAGAGAAGGGATGGAACATGCAAATGTATGTGGGGGGCACCAGAAGGACCTTTAAAGTGTTAATCCGTCCCTAATTCTCTTGAGATAATATTTGAAGATTTTATTCAATGCTTAAAATTTCACGCCAGTTTATAAGTCAACATCGTGAAATCAAAATCCTTAATTTTCGAAGCCAGTAGTTTTACTTCAAATGTTGTATTAATTTTACAACTTTTGAAGTAAGTTGAATTTTACAACATTTCATTATTATATTTATGATATGAGTATTATCATAAATTTCTACGAAATAATCCAGACGTTCTTCCATGCATGTAAGAAACTGAAGAATAACGATTTTCACTTTGCATTTATTCATGGAAATTCTTCCAGATTAATTATACACCTTTATTTTTATATGAAGGAACAGTACAATATCTGTCATTTGTTCAGTATACGTCATATCAAGAGTAAAGTCTATTATTATCGAAAAATATTAAATGATAGTTATCCCTTGATGGTTTAAAATTAAAGATATAAATTCGCTTTTAATATTGTACCTGGATAAATTTTCAAAATATTTGGTTATCAAATTAATTTCGAAGTTTGTCGATTAAGTGAAAACATGAAATTTTCAAAATAATTCTACTAATATTTAAAAAATACAGTTTCTCTCACATAATATACAATGAGCCACAGGAATCTAAATATACCATGGAAATATTGCTCCAAGTAAATTTTTGAAGTTTTTAACTTTTTTAAGCTCGATTTGCCTAATGAATGTATATTACTTCACTTGCTTTAATAAGGCATTTCTGTTAATTTTAAAAAATTCGAATTCCTATTGTTTGCTTATTTGTGATTTCCTTCAAATTAAATTAATTTTCTTTGGATAAGTATTCTTCTCTAAAACCTTCTGTCAGTTCTGTACCACACATAAAGAGATAGGTTTTTTCTGATTGTCATTTAAAGTCGCAAATTTATTAAAATATATTTAATCTGTATACACGTTTAATAACCACTACTTCAATTGCGTGACATCTGTACGTAAGGACAGAATAAAAGACTCTTTTCCTCCAAAAAAAAAAAAAATTATAAAACTGCTTTAAAATGAATTCTGAAGAGACGTTTTCGTGGTGTCTGTACGTACGTATGTATCTCGAATAACTCAAAAACGAGTAGCCTCAGAACGTTAAAAATTTGTATATAGGACTGCTATAACATGTAGATGTGCACCTCGTATTTTGTTGCAATCGGCCGCATCAAACGTATATAACTATTTATATATATATATTCACTCTGTTACCCGGCTCAGTGATCTCAGTTTCTTTACTCTTATATGTTTGTAAATTGTGCATATTTTGCTTTAAAATGATTGAATTATGTTGTTCTTATCTTCCGGTTAAGGTTTTTATGCCTTTAATAAATGTGCACGCAATATTTTTAGAATTATCAACAATTTTAAAGTTGTTTAAGTGCGGCTAAGCCTAATTTTTAAATAACATGGCGGTCATGTTTGTTTATATTTGAAACAGCAGAATAGTAGATTTGTTGCTAATCTAGAGAGACTAAGCTTTGCAACAACAAAGATAACGCCTTCATTTATTATTGTGATTTAAAGCATGCTTAATTCTTTCTGTAATTTTTTCGAGGAAATAAGTGTTTAAGATTTACTTCGTAATTTTTAATATAGATATTTTGAGTTTTTATGTGTTTTTGCCTTGCCATAAAGTAATCATTGAATTGATTGAACGAGAAAGACTAGATCGTCTGTGAAAAACTGTTTCTTTTTTGGTTTTGTTTGCTTAATTTCTTTTATACATCGTTCTAGATTTATCATAGTATTTGAATAGAACATGTGGCAACGATTAGATAATTCTTCAAATGATATAAATTTTGTGCATTTTGAGTAATAATATGATAGGAAAAAATTCTAAACTTAGTCTAGCAACAAAAAGAGTAATTTAGCTTCAGGCAATACGTCCCATTCTTCTTTATGCATCTCCAGCTTGGGCTGCAACTGCAAGAATTCACCGCACAAAAATTCAAAAGATTTAAAACAAGGCAATTCGAATAATTACAAATGCACCCTGGTTTGTGCGGAATAGCACCTTACACAACGACTTGAAAATCAAAGAAAAAGATGCAGTAATTTTAAAATTATCTCATAACTTCTTTACAAAGTGCGACAATCATCCTGAAAATATAATTAAAAAACTCGAAAATTATGATTACACAGTAGAACAACGCCAGAAAAGACCCATACTATTGACCCACAGTAGTCGGTAGTAATTGTAGATATATTTTTCGTTCTTTACTTATTTAGCCAAGTTTTATTTTATTATCATTATTACTTTTCATCTTACTGCATTATTTTACAAAGCGCTATGGCCTTTGTCCCTGCTAAAGCAGGTATAGACTTTGGTGTGTATATAGTTTTATTCTTGTGAACCATTTTTCTACTGTGACAAACTATGCTATTTCATCATATATAATCATTTGCCAATAATTACTTATCTAAAGAATAGTATGAAAATTTTTTGAAAAATGCCTCGCAATGCAACCTACAAGAAATGACGCTACCGGAGCACCAGCATACTAAGAAGCTTTTCATTTTCAAAAATAGATGGATCCACATGAGCATCTTCATCTCTCAACAGATGGCGGCACTGGAGCCTCCATTAAAAATTTCTGAATTCCAGCACAGTATGTGTACAAGTACTTTCCATTCTAGTGGATTCAACTCCCTTGATACTCAAGATTTAGAAAAGTCAAGAATAATATATTGGTAAATGTAACGCTGTTAAGTGAACCTAGCGCCAGAGTGTCGCTATGGTAAACAAATATAGTGAATTTTAAAGAATGAATTTATTCTATTGTGGTTTGTGCGCTATGGACGAAATAGATTTAATTAAATTCAATAAGTTTAAATGAAATGCAAGAAAAATACGTATAATTTAATATTCCTTAGAGGAAGTCATGTGGTGTACACAGCAGATTTTTTAGATTAAGTGATGGATTTAAGTTTTGTCTTTCCAATTTTCTGTATGCTTCTAACATCTCTAGACTAGGAGGGCCTGGAAATATACTTGCTGATTTCTAGTATACGTCAAGTTATCTTTCCTCTTTTATTACTTTAGGTTACAGATTTGAGTTTTAGAAATTTGAGACATAGTAATTTCAGATTAATAATTTGTATGAAAATAGTTTTTATAATAGAACTTACATACAGATAACTAAACAATTATTAAATTAGACTGCAATTCACAGTTTTTCATTGCACTAAATTAATGAAAGAAATGTTCCATTCAGCATTTAATTATCAATATAACATACTGAAAATATTAAAAAACTCACAAAAACACACTTATTGTAAGCAGATATATCTGACTAAAATATTGTAGAATGTAGATTTCATCTCACTGTTTAATGAATGTAAAGGAATTGTTTTAATATCTTTTCAGATTACTGCGTTCTTTGTTAGGAAATAATAGATTCTATTACAGATTGAAATTTAAAAATGCATTTATTTATAGTAAAAATGGAATTTTAATAGGTATTGTTGAATTAAATGCTTCTAAGAATTAAATGGAGTCATAGCAAGCAATTTTTGGTGTGGTGAAATGATAAAGAAGTAGACCTTTTTTTTAAAAAAAATAAAATTATTAAAGTAATAATAAAAGCTTATAAACAACTTAATATATTCACTCAGTATTAATACACTCATTTATTATAAAACTTGCATGTAATACATACTGGGAACACACCTGTTTACAGCGAAGTCGTGTACATAAAATGTTGTTCATCGTTTATTTGAAAATATAATAATTTATATAGAGAAAGGAACAAAATAACAAGTAATAATACTGTAATATAACACTGATAGAATACACATATATTTACATAAGTCGTGTATAAAATAAGATCTAAGGCAGAAAATAGTTCATTTAAATTTTAGCATAGAAGAAACAAATGGTGTATAACAAAGCAAAGAACAACAGTAAAGTGCACATTTGAAAGGGAAGCACTTGAGCAAAAAAGTATACGAATTTATACAGAATAAATTAATTTATAGAGATAGAAAAATTAATATAAGAATTCGTATCCACGACTGAAAATTTTATTCTTGGTTAGGTAATAATAATAATATACCGACTGCATTTAAAAATTCCTATTATTTGAGTTCAGTTTAATTTCTTCATCATAGAACTTTCCAAACATTTTCCTTGCAGAATATTTAGAATAAATTATTACTCATTTTGATGAATATCAATCACTTACATTTTTTTTGCAAAGAAATGCATTTTTGAAAGTAACTCATGCAAAATCAGCTAATAATTTTTATGTGGACAGTTGAAAAAAATTAAAATTATGCTTAAGTTTCTGGATATGCATTACATTTTTAGAAGTTTTACTCAAGTATAAACATTACATAATAACCTATATGTAGCACAAAAGAAAAGAGATTCTGTGTACTTAATGAATGATATTTTATAAAAACTAACTCATAATTAAGAATTAATTTAAGTTATTTAACATTATTACTTACTTCATTAAATAGCTGGATTGAAAACAGTACGGCATTCTTTGTGGAATAAAGGCCGAACATTTAGAGCTCAAATACATACATGTAAAGGCATTATATTGGATCGTATCATAAGCGTGAGTTTGAAATGATGAGCCACTGTACATTATTTCGTAATTCTACGGGCAAATATTATTGAATATAATGTTTGACTTTTTATACATGTTCTTTCTTTATATGACGGCAACTTTCTTCTCAAGTGTCGTCTGCCGGGGATGAGCAAATGAGCAAAGGAGGTACAACCATCAAATAAAGTTGACAGTCACTCAATTGGTCCTCCAATAGGAATTATTCTTTCAGGTACATCACATGGGTTTTGGGTGGGATCCGTTGGGAGCTATCTGAAAAGATAGAGCAAATGTCAATTTACAATTCTGGGAATTATTTATTTATTTTTTAATATTTTTCCTACTTGCAAATACAAAGTAGATAATTAAATACGTTACAGAGTTTTAAAGTGTTATGTTTGAAAACTCTAAGTAAACTTTGTATTTTGTTTTCCAAAAATACCCAGATATTCAGAGAAAAATGCAACGGTTTCCTTTTCTTTTTTAAAAAAATGACTAATTCGCTCCAGTAGCACAGTTTCAAATTAAACGTTTATTGGTTCACAGATAAAATTTAAAATTTTCAATCGAAAGCTTTCTTAAAATAAAGCGCAGTATGTTATGGGTGAGAAGGCTCTGGGAAAATATAGTATTTAATGTAGTCCTTAAAGATTTAAAATTCCGCTTGATAAAGCTGCGTTTTAATTAGTTAAGAAACAAAATATTTCAGGCATTTATGTGTGAACTCGTGGAGATAAGCCTAATAAACAGTTTCTTCGAAAGCAGAGATACTACCAATAAATTTAAAGACTGCTGTGGTTCTACCTAAAAACAACCATTAATCGAAACAAGCAACTTTCGCTTTATTCACTAAAGCATTATCAAAAATCCCGAGTTCAAAGCAAGCAACGGACATCGAAAAAGGACTTGAAGCAACATATTCGTTCTAAAAATTTCCCGAGAATACACATAAAGGGTTTCCTGTAGTATTTACATGATGGAGCAGTTACTAAGAAGAAAATGTAGCCTAACATTACGAAATATATTTAAATAATCTGTCCCACATCCCCTATAATTTACGCTAAATTAAAAATTTTTGTTTAATTTTGCTCTAACTGTGGGTCACGATCCCCTAGGCGGTCGCGGGAGCTGCAGCAGGAGGTCGCCAAAAAGTTTAGCAGTTTTAATATTTCTTTCACTTTTTATAATAATGTTACAGGTACCAAATATTTTTACACAATGTATCTGAAAATAGGTAAACATAAGAAAATACAGACAAAGAAAAAACGAAAACGTTTCGACGCATTCTTTTTATAATCTAAACTTTCATTTTACTTGCTTTGCACCTGATGCTGTCATTTCGTCTGTTACTAAAAAACTGCAATAGTATATTACAGTATAAGCAAAAAAATTGACAGTTTCACTCATGCGTGTGTCAGATTTGCTCAATACTTATGGGGTCCCACCAAATTTTTGTAAATATTATGGGGTCCTGGGTGTCACGAAAAAATCTCAGTGATAAAAAGTTTAAGAAACCCTGCTTTAACACATGATGTTAAGATTATATAATTACGTATATTTGTTGTAGAAAATCTTTCTGCCTAACTCATATACATAATCCATCTTGTACACAGGTACCCATTACTTCTTGTTAAAGCATTTTGAAAAAAATCAGAAGATATTTTTCCCTAATTCCCAATTCTAAATAAATCTTTTTTTTTTTTTTTTTTTCTATTTTAGGTCATTTTATATTTGGCCAAATTCCAAAATAGGTATTTTCAGAAAGTAGTGCATTGGATCACTAAACACAGATTTCTGTTTATATTTTTGTAAAACAGTGTTACATTATATGTAACATAATCCAGTTTCCTCATAATACAGTTGTCCTACTGCTCCAGTTTCACATGTTTACACATTTCAACGCATATCACCATAAACATGTTTATAGCTCTTCATCCCATCCACAGTTCATAAGGTAATCAATTTCAATTGTAAACTTTCATGGACAATGAAATTTCGAAAAAAAAAAAAAAAAAAAAAAAAATGCTACAACCGCAAAACTATGTAAATAGCTAGAGTACGAGCTCATATGCTATTGATACAAGTTTGATATGATTTTGCACGATCGTACATGATGAACCGCTAGCCTTGTAAATACTTCTGTATTGTTGACGTCTGCGAATGCGAAAGGCATTGACCGACGCAACAAGAGTATGATGTTAGAAGAATTCTAGATACATGCCAGACACATCGATTTGTTCACCTCATAAACTTAGATAGAGAACCTAGCATCGGGCTGAAAACTGCAATGTTCTAATAGCACCCTATGTTCATTCTACCATGCGAATCGCAAGTCATCATTTGATGGTGCATCCGAGAAGCAGTGGCACGTAACGGTTTCCATATACTGTGGAGTGATTTCGGATAGACCAGGCATATAACGGACAAGAAGCAGAAAGGATAGAAGAAATGTGAACCAAGCATGTACGGAACCTATGATGACCAAATCCATTATATAAATACAAGCACAAATACTAGTTCCTGTGTGCATATGAGCCATTTCCAGCCATCTCACTGCATGGAAACTGTAAGTCCACAGCTCGTTAAGTATGCTGGTTTTAACAAGCGAACCCGGCGGCTCCATCTGCAATGGTGTCAACTCAAAGCAACATTGAATGCCACATCGGTGTTTAACGATGAATGCTACTTCGTATCGAGGATAGATGATTATAGTATCTTGTAGACACTGATACAAACGCAATTTTGCTAATGAGACATACTTTTCCCATCACAGGTCTTGAGAGTCACAACCTAAGATAATCGAACCTCTCTGGAAAGAATATTGACGGAACAGCGGTATATGGCTTCGCATGCTGTCTTTCCTGGCCTGGATTCCAGATACGGTATTCTAGCAGAATAATGCCTGCCCACACAAGATTCAAATGGATAAAACTCTTTACGCCATGTCCATACACTTCCATGGTATGCCTACTCCTCGGAAATGTTCCCTATAGTTTATTATATGAGAAACTTATAAACGCCAGCTGATGCCTTGATGCAGTGTTATAGGAATCTGGAATACTCCGTCCAACAAATGCTGGTCCGTCTGTCATAGAACATAAGGCGATTCTCTATTTCCTGACGGAGCGAATAACAGCACAAGACTACTCCACGTTACTGAAATTTATTTAACTACTGAAATTTGTAATTGTCCTACTGCTTTGTAACTGTTTCTGCAATCATGTGTATTATTCACCTTTTTCACTTAGTCAATAAAATTTTCATTCAATCTGATGTTTCCTTTTTGTGTGCTGCTATTTCATTGCCCATGAGTGTACTTTGGAAATGGACATTTTTAAGAGCAAATGAAATGAAACACACAAGTACAGTGTTGAGGCGGCTGTAATTAAATGAGCATGTTGTTTAATGTAGCTCTAGAAAAGGCCATAAGAGACTCTGGAATAAACACAAGTGAAACCATCTTACACGGAACCATTCAACTGCTGGCTTTTGGCGATGATATATATATATCATATAACACTGGGCGATCAAAAGTGAGCTGTGGTCGAGGCATTTGTCTCCCTTGAAAATGTAACAAGAAAGATGGGCCTAATCATTAATGAAAACAAAACTAAATTTAAGATTGCATCTAATAAAACTGTTGATTTATCCCCTTGAAGATAAACAGTTATACATCTGAAACCGTAAAACAATTTAAATATTTGGGCACACTGATCACAAGTTGCAACGATATGAAAATTGAAATAAAACATAGAATATTTATGGCTAATAGATGTTACCACGGCCTTAAAAAACAACTTAAATCCAAACTAATCAATATAAAAACTAAATTTATATAAAACTTTAATAAGGCCTGTTGCTCTTTCCAGAAGTGAAGTAATAGAGCAGAAAAAGACCTGATCCTAAGAAAGATCTTTGTACCGGTACAACAAAATGGCATGTGGAGGATTCTCTATAATCATGAACTATATGGAAAATATAAGAAATACGGTGAAACTGATATTGTGAGAATTGTAAAGGCATCTCGTATCAGATGCCTGGCCATGTTTTTAGATATGATGATTTATTTCCAACAAAAAAGATAAAATTTTCGAGAATTGAGGGAATAACACGAAAAGGAAGACCACCCACTAGATGGATAGATGATGTCCAGGAAGATTTTAGATTAAATTGGAGTTAACCGATGGAGGGCTATTGCGCCGAATGGGTTTCAGGTGGAGGGAACTTGGAGAGGTAGCCTTGACCTGTTACAGGCTGTGGAGCTTATGAAGAAGAAGTAATTAAATGAGTGCAACAGAAAAAGTGAAGATTTTAAAATTAAATGGCTTTAAATTTACAGTCTGTGAATAATTTTTCTCTAACATTTTTATAAAATTCAGATTTTTGATATTAGAAAGACCTTTTCCAACTATTATATTATATTATGCCATGCTAGTATAAACTTATGAAAGTCGAAGTAATATTACTGTGCATTAATATTTGTCTGTTGAGTAATATTCCATTATTCTATCGTACACTTACGTAATGCTACGACGCACAACCTGGGTTCAAACAGCCTTAGTACGCGTTTTCAGAGTTTTTTCCGTGTGTAGCGAAAGCGCGAAACAGTAGTCCTGACAAAATCCTCCTACTTAACCTACCATACCATTTAAAAGTGATAAACGCATTTATTAATAATTTAAGTATTATCATATTTTCGTAGTTAGAAACATTCTTAGTGGAATCTGAAAAAATTTTGGAGTATTACGTTACCTTACACTATGGTTATCAACAAGTTTAAAGGCACAATATTCTCTGATTAAAATTTTTTTAATAATATAAATTTACTACGTTGTCATACCTCAGTTGCCATAGCTTCGATGATCATCTTTAATTTAATTTTATTTTAGTAATCTATCTGATTGATTTTTTAAATGCATTTAATTTAAAGACAATCCAATTTGAATTTTACGAACATTTGCAGGATTATTATTTTTCTAGAGCTATAAATACTGATTCTAATGACATACATTATACAGTTAATACAGAATATCTTGATTTTTTAATAATATAACTAATCGATATATTTTATCGTATATTTAATTTATTATATATTCAAATGCTGATTTCTAAGAATCTTTTCAAAATTCCTCATTTTCTTTCTCAGAATTTCAGAATTTCTTTCTGTAACTAACGAAACATGTTTTTACGTCGTATGTTATCCATTTCATTATAGAATCAATGATTTGTTTTAGAAAGAAAATGTTGCTAAAATTACCTCATTGCTCAAAAAT